CGGCACATAATAACAACAACAAATGCTAGAATTATGATTTCCATCATTTTAGACTATAACACTCTGCCCTTCTTCTTATCAGTAGGAAGGAGGCTGAACAAATTCAACTGTTTCTGGACTGTACTCTTTCTAGCTGACACAGATAATATTGAGAAGTTCAAACTTACTTAATTGCTTATTTCAGCTAAGTAGGCAGGTGCTTTTTTTCCACTAAAAAAACAGAAGAATATCTATTTCTAGCTTATTTGTTTAATCATGTGAAAAAACTTTCTTTTCAAAATTTCAAATGTTGTTCTTATTTTCTGTGGAGTCAGCTATATAACTCATGACAATCTACCTGATTGTTATTGTTAGGTGCCATCAAGCCAAGCACAACAAATAGCAACCCTGTGAACAACAGATCTGAACCCTGGCCTATCTTGAACCATTCTTACCATCTCCAGCACACTTAACCCATTGCTACAGTTCCAGTGTCAAGCCATCTTGTTGAAAGTTTTGAAAGTCTTTCTCTCTTTCGCTGACCTTACACCTTTCCAGGCATGGTATCCTTTTCCAAGGAGCAGTCTCTCCTAACAACATTTCTTAAATATGTGAGATGAAGTTTTACCATCTTTGCTTCCAAGAAGCACTCTAGCTTCAGTTTTTCCAAGACATAACAGTTTGATTCCCCCCCCCCCTTTTTTGGCAATCTATGGGATCTTCAGTGCTATTCTCCAACCGCACAACTCAAAAGCATCAATTCTGTTTGTGTCGTACTTACTCATTGTCCGGCTCTTAGGTGTATACCAGGTGACTTAAAAGACCATAGTCTGAATCAGGTGAACCTTAGTCTTCAACCTGACGTCATGGCAACCTTAGGTTCAATAGAATGAAACAAAATCAGAATGATCCTTGGCATCTAAGAAGGTGTTTATATTCAGAAAAGACTACTCAGTAGAAAAGAAAGTCATGTTTGGTAAAGGAGAAGGCCAACACAACAAATAAGGAACATCTTCAGTAAACTGGCATAATAGACACAACATGGATCTGGTACAGAATCCCAGGATCTTTTGGTGCGGTATCTGGCAAGTTGTCTTTCTAACATTTCAAACAAATAACTCAACGATCATTAAGAAGAACTATGTATACAGTTTAAATGTGCTTTTCTAAAGACTTAATCACATGGATTTTTTATCCATAAGATGATAAACTCCACATAATTTGGCCCATATACATTTATGCAAGTCATAGCTTTGGTTGTTTATAAACCTTTGTTTTAGTTACTCACTGATAATAATTCTGGATGGTATGAAAGACTTGGTAAAAGGACTTGGAAGGAACATTTGCACACCAGTGTATAGCTGATGTCCTTACCTAATGCACATTAGACCTTTCATAGCTCAGCTGTGCTTTGTGTAAATAGATATTAGAACTGTTTTGTTCTCCTCTTGCCTGACATCTATTCCTTATTTCTCACTCAAGCTGAATATGTGTAGCCTGAGGAGTCATTACTTGACCCGCAGATGACATTCTTTATATAAAATGCTCTGTGTTGAACT